CCATACTTGTTTTCAAACTTACAACTCTTTTCTCCCGCCGTACAATTTTCTCATGAATCTTAATCGTAAACTTTATAGTCAGTCCCCTTCCCTCTACACTGCGTTCAATTAGATGTACAGTGTACAAGTAATACATTTAGGATATTCTTTCTGCTGTGTCCTTGATTTTGATTGAAATAACAACCAACATGGCAACGACCTCGAGACCTGCGAAGAAAAGGAGAGTTTCTGATGAAGGCAGAAACTTTAAATCAGATTGGTCTCTAAAGTATTTCTTCATAGAAGAGAAAGGTGGACCACTTTACCTCATTTTCACCAGAGTATGTAATGGAGGTTAACAACATAGTAGAAAAGTGCAAGCCAGAGAAATCACACTAAATATAAGCCTGATTTGTTTTTCTCACTGATCTTGTTGTTTGCTTGTTTGTTTTTGCAGAATTTCAGGTGTGTACACGTATCGCATGAGTGTGTGTGTGGGGGAGGGGGGAGACTAGCTACGGCCCGCCAAGTTATGCCAATCGTTAGCTGTGACCCGCGAGCTTTAAAAGGTTGGCCATAGCGCCATCCGTGTTTTAAGGCACTGCTGCCTAATATAACGTCGAGTACGTTCGGCTTGATCGAGAATAAAATTATGAAAGGGTAAATTTACCCTTTCATAATGCACGCAAGACATTTTAACATCGAGGACGTTCGGCTGAATTGGAAACCATAATATGAAAGGGTGAATGATGCAGGACAATTTCACATTGAGTAGTCCTAATTGAGAATTTACACATGAAATGACGAGAGTATGGAAGAAAATTTCCCATTAAATAGTCTAAATTAAGAATTAAGAACCCACTATTATCATTATTATTATTATTTACAAATAAAAAGGTGAAGGCATGCAACAAAATTCCCATTGAGTACGTCTTACCTCGAGTCTATTGAATTTTATGCCGGATTTCTTTTGAAGTAGGTACCTCTTGTTAAAAAATAGCTGAAGACTATCATTACTTGAAAGGAGATTGAATAATGCTTTACACAAGAAAGCTCCAAGAATGAAACAGATTATTGCTTGCTGTACAAGAATGTTATCGAGCGCATGCGCTATTTATCCATGTGCGGGGGATCTGGGAATACTGACTTTTAAAGGGGGAGCCCAGCCTAAACATCGAATTAATTTCAACGAAATGTAGAAGAAAAAAATGGAATAGTAACCGTAGTAGATGAATTGAGACATAAGATTCATGAAGAATAAAATATACTAGCTCATTTATTTTATATTACGAAATTTGTCATACCTTGGCAAACTTTTAATTTATTGTTAATAGCCGATGTTAAGTTGTGTCCTTTTCATTAGTATAGCAAATTGGAAGAGTATTTTTTGTTGTTGATTTTGTTCAGTATAGTGGTCAGTGCATTTCTGTACTTGTTGTACTTATCAATAAGATCCTCATGATGATTTGATTTAATAACTTTTGAATACATTGTATTTTTACACAAATAGATGTTATGATTCCTCGAGTTATGCATGTCAAACGAATTAACTTAGTCTGTGGAAGCGGACAAAAAACCAACGACAAAAAAATGTCTACAATATATTTGCTCTCTTTGCCCATGTGCGGGAGATCTGGGAATAACCACTTTTAAAGGTGTAGCCCAGCATAACATCGAATTAATTTTAAGAATGTAAAAAATAAACGGAATAGTAACTGAAGTAGGTGAATTTAGACATAAGATTCATGAAGAATAAGATATACTAGCTCATTTATTTTATAGATCCCTACGAAATTTGTCATATTTTGGCCAGCTTTTAGTTCATTGTTAATGGTCGATGTTTATGTCATTTTAATTATTATGATTCAGATTCAGATTAATTTTATTGGTCCATTTGGAAATTCAGCTGTTGGCATTACATGAAGCACATGAACAATATACAATCGAAATATTATACACAAATACATAATACAAAGTAGCAAATGTACAATGACATATTCATATGGAAACACGAATATAAATCGTTGATTAATATTAAAATATAGGAAATTGCAAGAGTAATTCCTTTTTTATTTTGTTTAGTAAAGTGGTCTGTACATTTCTGTACTTGTTGCATTTATCAACAAGATCCTGACGATGATTTGATTTAATAATTTTTGAATACATTGTATGTTTAACCCGAATAAATTGTATGACTCCCCGAGCTATCCATGTCATACAAAGTTACTCAGTCTGTGGGAAGCGGGCAAACAAACAAAATGTCTATAATATTCATTTTCTCAGGCGGATGAGCTCTTTATGCACGTGCGAGAGATTTAGAAATACCCACTTTTAAAGGCATCGTTTAACAATGTTAAATCTGAGATGCACGGCCATGTCTGTGATATGGTATAATATTGAAGCCCTACACAAATTGCGCTTCAAAATGATCAAGAAGTGCCTCAAGAAAGTAAAAATCTTTGAGTGACCGTTTTTACCATATAGGTTTCCCCCAATAGACTGTAGTGTTATAAAACCGTTAGGAAAACGCACAATTTGGTTTCGATTTCCAATCATAAATATCTTGATAACTAGACAGGCGATCGGCTTGTAAAAGTCAAGGGGGCTCCTGAATGACCCAAATGTTTATAATTATCATTGCAGCATGATCTATTAAAACCTTGCAGTACATACCAATACTTATTTGCTAGATAATCAACCCCGAGGAATATCCCGAAGAAGACTGCAGTGAAATGGTTTAATTTGCAAATAGTTTTGGGTCGACTGTTAATTTGAGTGGATCATTGCATACACGTACCTCATTTACCTATTTTGTATAGCATGAGTTAGAAAATTTAGAAATATATTTAGAAAATTGCTATATTAGGATTTAAAGACATTCATTTTTGACATATTGTATATTGTCATGATTAGTGTCTACTTTATTCTTCTTTATATTTTACTTTATTTTGAAAATAATCTTCTATTATGTTTCTTCCTTTCTCTTGATAATATTTCAGCAGTTGATTGAGAGATTTGGTAGATATTTAGGATGTAGTATAACAATAGATCCTGGGCACATCACGTATTGCAAAAGAAAATCATGGTAATAAGGATCATAATGAAACCACAGCTACTAGACATACTACTATAACAGCTGCACTGTTAAAGCCAGGGTAATTATGCTGCATTATTGTAGAGCGCTTAGAGACTTCTGATAAAGTAAGTGTTAGGCGCTATATAGGCAAATATAATTATTATACTACTGTCATTGCTGACTATTGAATTGAATTGGATTGATAAGGTTTATTGATAGCAATTTAAAGTCATAAGCTGATACACCTTGAATTCACAAACAAAACTGCAACATATAGAATAAAAGCAATTGGCACCTGCTCGGTGTAAAATAGGCAAATATGCTAATGATGCTGATAAAAATAGTAATATAATCGTTATTATTATCATTACAATACTTTCCCGCACATAATATATGTACATTCTTCACTCCCTGAGGAGCATTCCATCCATGCGCCATTTCACCCTTGGATAGAAAGTCATCTCCACGTATTTGTCAAGTAGTATAATGATTATGTTACTTTACTCTAGAAGCCGAGACTATGCACGTGATATTTGAATGCCCTGAAAAATCTGTAAAATGAGTAAAATATTGTACGCAATATGTCAATTCCACAGATAAATGTATAATATCTAATAGGCTGCAAACTTCGTGTGTGAGCGTGTGTGTGTTTGTATTGCAAAAATCAATTAACCGTAACGCTCCATGCCAACAAGCCAAATGTACACAAATGAAGAAAAGACGCACATGCCTATTGTCACACAAATCATTTTACATGTTCCAACGGTAAAGCCTATCTGACATTAATTTTGATGATCTGACTGCGATCAAATTTTGACTGAAATTGCAGTGGCATTTAATGTGATTTTTCAGGCATATGAAATATTGATGATCTCGAGATTATGGTTGAGGAGGCGCGATAGCTCAGTTGGTAGAGCAGTGGTCTCGTATTCCGGCGACCCGGGTTTGAAACCTTTGATAAGGCATTAATCCTCATTACCAGGTCCATCGGAGAGGACCTAAAGCAGTCGGTCATCTGGTTGCGTACTAACAAGCATGTATGCTCTCCTACCAGTCAGGTAAAATAACAACCACACACTCTAAGTTGCTACATGCTGCACCAAATCGAAATATCGAAATACTTAAACCGTCTTTGTGGTACTCTCACTTCAAGTCGTATACACTGAAGACTGTCGTGCGACCATCTCCAATTTGAAGCAAACTTGGCCATTACTTTGACCAGTAGGATTACAATCCACGTATAAGGTGATTATTTGGATTAGCATTGATTAAAATCTCAACCAGAATGATTATGTTTGCATAAATTCCTATTAATGCAATTGCGACTTTCTCTCAACAATCTAATGGCAGTCAGATCCGCCAATTCTCAGTGAGCTTAAAGGTAATACAAAGTTTTGGGAAATTTCGAAAATTAGGTGGATTCTTTACAATATTGATATATTTGGATGCCCATGTGGATGTATTAAGGGTCCTAAAAAAAATTAGCCCCTAAAACACTTCTTCTTTCGAGAAAAATTTGAATATAAAAATTTACCGGTGCTCACGGTAAATTTTGATAAATTTCAAAGAGCGCCTACGGCCGTACAATAGTAGCTGCGACCATGAAAATCACAGAATATGTAGTTCTGATATATAATTTCCAAACGGGGATAGCAAATCGGTCGATTTTAGTCAAGAAACATTGTTTTATAGCTTAATTAATATCTTGAACTTGAGAGGGAGCTATACAACATAAAGAGTTTATTATTGACAATTTCATAACTTTAGACTCGATTTCAACCGCGACAACGATCAGTGTATATTGTAGGAACGTTTATGCTTCCAATATGTTAATTTGAACCAAATTCATGACCCCATACCAAAACTTTGTATTACCTTTAACACTGGCCAGAATCGTTCTGTAAATGGAAATCTACCTGGCAGAAATCTACTATAATATTCTTAC